GGTGAGTGGGTGAGTGGGTGGGTAGGTGGTTGAGTGGGTGATACACAGATCACACGTGAAGGCACGATTATGGTGAGAAGTACTTGACGTTGGCGAGTGCCTTGACGCGTGCGGCGGCGAGGAGGGACTGCGCGGCGATGCGGTGGCTTGCGGGTGATCTCAGGTGGGAGCGGATCCTCAAGACGTCGAGGCGGACGACGGTGATGTGCAGCAGGTACAGGAGCGAGAGCGACCAGAGGGCTAACAACGTTAGCATAAATGGCCACCTGATCTCTTTTAGGAAATTGTCACATTCTGTAAACAGATCCTGGAAATATTTGGAATTCAATACCTTACGCAGCTGAGTAATTAAGTCACTGCACTTTTTACGATAAATGCCTTGATTCAACGTGAATGAGTCTCCGAACAGCAATCCATATTTATAGAGTGTTGGTGAAATGCCTCTACAGCTGACGACGGAGAAGCATTTACATGAATCCTGCAAAACACCGTGCTCTCCCCTCTTACAAGTATCGCTCTCAATACATTTTCGGCAGCCCCAGTCTTCGCATAATATATCCTTGAGTGACTTGAGAAGACTTTCAAGGCATTCATGGAATTTCCATGCCAGGTATACCGACCATGACAGGCATGTGTCAGCACTTTTGTTGCTCATGTATTTGTAAACTTCGGAGCATGATGTTTGGAAATATGGAGCGCAGTGTCGGTTGTTGCTGCTACACGTGGCCGCAGATGTAAGACTCACTAGGTGCGAGTTATCGCATCCGAGTTCACCGCACCTGCCGTCTCCGTATGCATTGCAGAGCGGCATTATGAAATCGTCAACGACATCGTATATCTTGATAGAACGGTTGGAGAGTGATGTTTCGAAGGCCTCTGAAAATGACTTAACACCGTCAACATTCTTTGGCTTCCGACCGCTAAGACCATTTGCTAGAGACAATGCAAAACCGAAGTGCTCAGGTAATGTGGAGGGAGGTTTTGGTGCAAGGGAGAAGATGCACGAAATACCATCAAAGTCAAGGAAAGCACGGATAATATCACACATATCTCTACCCGTTTTCGTAGAGCCCGAGAAAGCTCTGAACTCTAATGGAGTTATGCAAGGCATGCCAGGTGTGGATTTGGGGCACGTAGCACAAATGGATTTACAACCGACGGATTGTAATTGGTGCGGTAGGTGACCTGGAAGGCAATCGTTTAGGTAGCTCATAAGTGGTGAGGTTGGTTGGCAGTTTGATTCGCATTTTGGTTGGCCAATTGCTTTGTCAGTTGACTGATCATTTGCTTGGCACCTACGTTGGTCGGTAACATGCTCGTTACATGGCCATTTGGTTGACCTGATACCTTTGCCATAGAGGCAATCGCGCCAGCCAAAGTCTGCTGCTGGAGAACTACATTGCTTACACATGAAGTTAAGTGCTGGTGTAATTTTACGCAGGATGTCAAGCAGCGTATGCAGACAGTCCTGGCCGTTCGTCGGATATTTCAATTTCAAGAAATTGGTCGAGTAGTCGCAGGCGTACCTGCACTCAGCATCGCCATGGCCAACGATGCCAGTCAGGAGGTAGTAAGCGCGCGATGTTAGATGTTCAATTGTGGAATCAATTCGGTCATTTGAGATGGGATTTGGATACGCTGGAATGGGCACCGGAATATTTAGTTCTGTATTATGCGCATCTGGTTTTTTCTCAAACAATGAATCACAATGTTCATGAAGCTTATCATACACGCCGTTGAACTGTAAACCTGTCAACCAAATCAACTGTTCATATACACTGCAAGGCGTCCTAGTGGCGGCGAATGTCGCTAGGTGTCCCACCTGAGCGTATGGTTTAAGGTAGCTGTGCAATTTAGGTACTACGCCATCCTCCTCATTGTATTCCACGGGTATGTCTTGGTCACCGGAACGGAGAGGGGAGGCTAGTGGCGTAGGGCTAGAAGTGAACAATGCATCTGCATCACCATTGAGATTATTAAGAATATTGCTACCATTAAAGTCATGTCTGTGATTAAGTTCACCGCACGAAATCGTTGACGGAGAGCCGACGTCATAGCCGTTGTCCGCGAAGAACAATTCATGTAAACTGGACTTGCGATCGGCCGGGTTGTAGATTTTGTGACCCTTCCAATCACCTTCTTCAAGGCCATTCTTGAGATGCTTCAAAGCTGTATATACAATGGGAACTATGGTTAGACAGACCTTAGCGCCACGCCGGCCATTTGGCGTCAGCTTGGTTTCGGGGGTGGCGCCAGTCGGCTTGCTTGGTTGGTCAGCAGGCAGAGGTTCACTCCACTTATCGATAGGCTTCGCTCCCGCGTAGACGTTCATGTAGACCTTGTCGAGCTCCGCGATCATAGCCGAATAGCCCTCTCTCAGCGCGTCGAGAATATGTGCAGAGGGCTCACAAGATTTCTCTGCGGTTAATGTGGTAAGTGACTTCCTAAGTCTGTTTAGGTTGTCTACAAATGCGGGATCAAAATGCTGCGACGTTTCCAGACCATCAAGAAGTCTACGCGCAGCGTCATGAGAAGGCTGCGTTTTCGGAAAGAAGGCCTTGAAGTCTTCCTGCTTCTGCAAGTGTTGGAACAAACGTTTGATGCTTCCATGCAATTTTACAGATGCCTGGCTGAGTGGAGACTTCTCTGGAGGAGAAAAGGTATTCTTAATATCGCTAATGCCTTTGATCGATTTCTGGCTAGTCATGAAATGTTTCTCGAACGTCTTCATAAAACCTTTCACGCCTAAATCCAGATCCTTAGTAATCAGGTTCGGCAACGGTTGTAATTCCGTCTCAACTTTTGTTGAGAATGACACGAGCAGGGAGCTTACGGACAGAACGTATTGCTTTTGAGCGTGCGTAGTGAGTTGCTTAGTTGCGGTGTCTATCTGTCCATCGACGTCACTTTTGAGGTCTTGGATTGTGACCTTGACGAGATTGTCCACACCTGCAAGGAATCTCTTTGCCGTGTCATGCGCTACCGACACTGGAGCTTTCAAATCGTGAAGTTGCTGTTGAAGTTTCTGCAGCTCACCTTTGTTTGGACTTTTGCCGATTTTCTTTGTTCTAAGGTTTTCCAATGTTAAGCCAACAGCATAGGCGGAGTCTGAAATGGTGGAGGTGAGCTTACGGAGGTTAGCGTTAATTTCATTGGAGAGACGTTGGAGAGCTTCCGTAGTTATTTCGATGGTGATGTCTTCTGCTCTAGATTTCACAGCTTTAATTGCGGTGTCGACGGCTTGGGCGTGGTTGGTGCCACTGGTTCTGCCGCCGATTTTCCCAGTCGCCTGCTGAAGCTGGCTGTGGAGTGACTTGGCCTTTGTATGAGCTTCTTCTATTACCTTTGACATGGTGGTTTGCTCGCCGCCTATCTGTTTCTGCTCGTTAACTAAAGAGTGAAGCTCCATAGCTGCACCTCTGGCCGCACCAACGAGATGGTGGAGTATGAGTTGAACGGCGGATATGAGGTCTTTCTCGTAATTGTCACCGGTTTTAGTAATCCCCAACGATGTCAAATCACTCTTAATCGCGCCAATGATCTCACCAGCCTTCTTAGAAATTTGTGGATAGAGTGAATCCGCGAATCCTTTGCAAACAGCTTGCACTCCTTTCAAGTCAGTGTCAATATTTTCTCCGGGAGTACTACTGAACGTTTGAGCCGCCACTTCAATAACTTCGCTCTTAAGCTGTGATGGAATTTCCCTTTTGATAGCCAGCAGCAATTTATTAAGATTACCTCCGTTACCATGCCCAAGTTTCCTATGACTTACCAGATACCCTCGCAGCCCGCTTGCACCACCAACCTTATCCACAATCTCATTACTCCAGCTTTTGACAATATCCTCAAACTTCCCCTGAGTGAACCCCTCCGCGTACTTCTTAAAGGCATCTTTAATCCCCTCGAAACCCATAGAAAATGCATCCCCACTCTTCCCATTAATTTGCGCAACCGTAGTTCTGATATTGTCAAAGATCCCATCAATACTCGTCGGCAGAGTGCGGCTTTTAAGAGCCGGAAACTGCTCCCCAAGCGCCGTAATCGCCGCGTTAACTTTATTTACCAACTCTGTCAGCCCGCTTCGCTCGCCACTAATATACGTATCAAGGGCACTTCTCGTCTTTTCCAACTCCTTTACAGCATCTTCAATAGGATTCTTGTTACTGGTGATACCACCTTCCGCCTGTTCAGTAATCGCCTTCACATGCCTCTGCGCTGATTCAATGTCTTTGTCCGTATCGTTGATCCACACTTGCAGGCTGTCCACATACGTCGGGAGATCCCTGTTAACTATCTCAAGCTTTTCAAAAATGGTCTGCACTCTTTTTCTCAATTCGGTGGCGAACGCAGTGACTCGCTCACTAATCTGCGTATTGACACATGAACCAGCACTCTGGAGCGTTGTTTTAATCTTCTCCTTCGTCTCTCTCAACTCGTCTTTTTCCTTGTCCGACAAGTCGGTCAGCCGAGTTTTTTCATACACCATGGTCCTATGAACATTATCGAGCATGCCACGTAATTTATCGCTAAGATTACTGATTGCGTTTCTAGTTTCCATCTGGTTATTGTGCATATCTAACGTGTGGTTAAAAGTCGTAGCCTTGCTAAGATAGTCATCCAGCCTCTTGTTGATCAGCTCCTCTGCTTGCTCAATCTTCAGAGGATCATCCGTACCTGCAACAGAATGAGTTTCTAAAATTTTACTTACCGTTGTTTTGAGTTTCTTCATCTCCCTGTCGAAGCCTTCAATCTTGCTTTTAACATGGTTGTTACTCCCCTCCACTTCCCTATTATACCTCCCGACACCGTCGGCCACGTGACCAATGACTCTCTTAAAACCCTCATGACCTGAACATAATTTACTATGTAAAGCATCAACAACACTCTTCAAATGGCTTTCTTTCCCTACTTTGTAAGGCTGTTTCTCATAGACATCTTTAAGCACCCCGTGCAAGAACGCCATCACCCCGTCGCAGAGCCTGTCAAGGTCGGAGTACACGATGCCTTCCCCGGTGTAATTACCATTCTTGTAGCCGAGAAAATTTTTCGAGGCCTGTGCACAGGTTATTAAGAATTTCTGTGAAGGGATTATTTTAGGCACATTTTCAGGGCGATTTGGGGGAATTTGGAGAAAGGCGATTTTAGGCCAAGGAGGCAGGGAGGCAGTGAGGGAGGTCGGTGGACAGGGTGAGGGAAGTGAAGGGGCGGGAGAGGGCGATGGAAGAGGAAGATGGGTTGAGGTAAGGCGGTTTCGGAGGTGGATGGGAGAAAGTGGAAATTGAGGATTTGGGTGACGGACGCCGACGGAGGAGGTGATGGAAGGGGTGAGGCAAGGAGCGAAGGGACCAGTGAAAGAATTGGTGGAGTGAAGTGAAATGATTAGAGTAAGTGAGTGAGTAAATGCAGTAGGTAAGTGAGCGGTGGTCAGTAGGTAAAGTGGTTGAAGTGGTTGAAGTGAGGGGTAAGTTGATGGTTAAATGCGTGGGTGGGTAAGTAGTTGAAGTGAGTGGGTGGGTAGGTAAGTAAAGTGAGATTGGTGAAATGGTTGAAGTAAGTGGAGTGAGTAAAATTAGGTGAGTGAGTGGTTGGTTGAGTGGTTGAGTGAGTGGGTGGTTGAGTGGTTGAGTGGTTGGGTGAGTGGGTGGTTGAGTGGGTGAGTGAGTGAGTGGTTGAGGGATACACAGATCACACGTGAAGGCACGATTATGGTGAGAAGTACTTGACGTTGGCGAGTGCCTTGACGCGTGCGGCGGCGAGGAGCGACTGTGCGGCGATGCGGTGGCTTGAGGGTGAGCGCAGGTGGGAGCGTATCCTCAGGACGTCGAGGCGGACGACGGTGATGTGCAGCAGGTACAGGAGCGACAGCGACCAGAGGGCGAGTAGGGTGTAAGAGAAGAAGTTGAGAAATGTTGAAGGATTATTTTAGGCACATTTTCAAGGCGATTTGGGGGAATTTGGGGAAAGGCGATTTTAGGTCAAGGAGGCAGTGGGAGTGAGGCAGCGAGGGAGGTGGGTGGACGAGGCGGGGGAAGTGAAGGGGCGAAAGAGGACGCCGACGGAGGAGGATGATGGGTGGAGGTAAGGCGGTTTCGGAGGTGGAGGGGGAAAGGTGGAAAATGAAGATTTGGGTGAGGGACGCCGACGGAGGAGGTGAGGGAAGGATGAGGGAGGGAGCGAAGCGACCAGTGAAGGAGGAGGTGAGTGAGTGAGCAGGTGAGTGTGTGAGTGGGTGGGTGAGTATGTGAGTGAGTGAAGGGGGTGAGTGGGTGGTTGAGTGGTTGAGTGGGTGGTTGAGTGAGTATGTGAGTGGTTGAGTGGGTGAGGTGAGTGAGTGGTTGAGTGGGTGAGGTGAGTGAGTGGTTGAGTGGTTGAGTGAGTGGTTGAGTGGGTGAGTATGTGAGTGAGTGAAGGGGGTGAGTGGGTGGTTGAGTGGGTGGGTGGTTGAGTGGTTGAGTGGTTGAGTGAGTGGGTGTGTGGTTGAGTGAGTAGTGAAGGCACGATTATGGTGAGAAGTACTTGACGTTGGCGAGTGCCTTGACGCGTGCGGCGGCGAGGAGCGACTGGGCGGCGATGCGGTGGCTTGAGGGCGAGCGCAGGTGGGAGCGTATCCTCAGGACGTCGAGGCGGACGACGGCGATGTGCAGCAGGTAGAGCAAAGAGAGGGACCAGAGAGCGAGCAATAAGTATGTGAAGGGTGTGCGAATGGCCCAGATGAAATCTGGTATGATTTTGTGTACCAACATATAGAGCAGATTGCCTTCTTTCACCACTCTCTCTAAGGCATTACATAGGTCCTTACATGTACGTTTGCTTTCCGGTACAATGGCGCCGTTCAGGTTAGATGAGCTCTTTAGGACAAAACCGTATTTGCATAGTGTCGGACGAGTGAGAGGACATTTGGCAATAGATTTGCAGACAGGATCATGTTTGGCGTCATGAGCCCTTGGAGACTTATCCAAGGTTGGACAGGTTACAGGGCATGATTCATGACACCGTGACCCTGGAGTGTTACAGTTTTTGCAACACTCGTCATACAACATTTTGAGGAAGTCATAGAATGTTTCCGTGAGATAAACAATCCATGAGAGATACAATCCAGCGTGTTTACTGGAATAGACCGCCCATGTGTTCTGGCTAAAAGGATGTAGGTATCGGCCGCAGGTGACTGTTGACAACCCGTTGTTTACGCAACCAACGAGGCACATCAAATCGCCGTTGGAATGCTTATTTGATTTATCGCTGGTGAATATGGAATTAATGTGCAAATCGACATAATTCTCTCCGAAGTATGCCTTGTTGACAGCTTCGCTAAAGGCATGGCTTTTGTGGTCCCTGCCGGTAATACCCCAACCGACGATAAAGTTGTAGTAGAACGCGAACATGTCGTCAAGTGATTGTGGAGGACGTGGTGACAGGCATATTAAAAGGCTGCACATTTTACTAAGTGGGCTCTCCGGTTGGCCACAGAATTTACCAAGTACACGCTTTAGATGCGCACCTGTTTTTGTATGTGACGCCGTCACGCTGAGTTCGCCAAAGCCCATAGGCGTCTTACATGGAAGGCCTCTGTGGTTAGACATATTGCAGGTTAACTTACAACCTGGTGTTTTGAACTGATGCGGAAGAAAGCCTGGCAAGCCGTCCTCGAGATATGATTGGAGAGGCGATTTGAAGCCACAACTGACTTGTTGGTCATGCTTTTGGGGACACTGTTGGTTGTGCTTTTGGTCACACGTTTGCTTACATGTTTGGTCACAGCTTAGGTTGCACGTTTGCTCAGGGCATTGGAGCTCATTGCAGATCCAGTTGGATCCTCCAACTCCCTTGCCATACAAACACTCATTCCATGCGTATGCAGCCGTAGTACGTTCACACTGAATTAAGACGTAGTAAAGTTGGTGGTATATTCTACACAATATATCACTGAGTAATTCCAAACACGCAGCAGGGCTAGAGGGGTAATGCAATTTGTCTACGTTGGTGCAGAAGTCACAAGCATAACGTCCTTCAGCGTGGCCATGTCCCTGGATTGCGATCAACACAACTTCAGCATGGCGGCATACAACATCTAATTCGGAGGTTACGGTCTCAGCCGACAACTCAACAGTGGCATCTAGTTTAAGTTCGTGTGGATGGAATGTGGAGTAATCATCATTCTTACGGTCTTTAGGTTTGTCGAACAATGTTTTAACGTGATGCTGAAGTCCACTAAATACATGGTTGTACGGGAGGCCACACACCCACTCAAGCATCTGATACACGTTGCATGGCGGCGCTGGTTTAGGGTGCATTATGTAATGGCAAGAGTTATAGTATTGTCCGAGATGGTCGCAGAGACATGCAAGTAAGACCATAATGTTAATGTGATTTTTGTCTTCCGGCTTACACGTGAGAATATGCCCGCTGTTTACTCTGTCGATTTCCTTGCCAACTTTTGCACGAACGTCCAACCCACGCATATCAGTACAATTTCGCAGTTCACCGTCTTGAGAGTCCACCTTCGTGGCAACTCCGTAACCACGTGACTTGAGGAAAAGGCCCAGATCGGTAGAGCAATTAATTTGTTCCTTGCGCCATAATCCTCCGCACGCTTTTCTCAAATCAACTAGTTCGTGGCGTAGAATGGAGAGTGATGTCAAGCACACTTTGGCGTGTTTCTCGTCGGCATCAGTGAGCGTGTAACCTGAGTATGTGTTGACATAGGCACAGTTAAGTTGCTTGACAAATGCACCTAAAGACGTGCCGATAGCATACGTAATCCTTTCGGCGTCCTTAGTGTACCGCGCTCGTAGGATACCCTTTACCTCCTTGTCAAGCCGATTCAAGTTTGCTACAAACACATGATCGAAGTGGGTAAGTGGGCCAAGCAAAGTGCCTAGGTGGTGAGAAAGCTCCTTGATATATACGGACGCGAAAAATATTCCATCCTGTTTCGCTGTTGATTCTAACAATTTCTTGAAGCCGGAATTGACATTTTCTGCGGCATTCTTCAAAGTGATTTGCGGTGACTTGGGATTTATCGTCGTCACTTCAGTGACAAATTGCTTGTCTAATTTATCTAATAAGCCCTTAATGCCGGCACTTCTGTCATTGAAAATAATGCCTTCAATGCTCTTTCTGCGTTCTCCAATCTCCGTTTTCAAGGCTTCCAACTGCTGCTTGGCACTCTCAACATATCTATTCAAAGCGTCTCTTTTGATGGCGGCGGTTTTTTCGGTGACCTGTTGGGAGAGGAATGCGTTTATTCCCGTGATACAGTCCATGACTGTCGTTCGTGTGGTAGTGCCGTGGAATTTCTGTGCCTCAGCGAGTACGTTTTGCAAGTTATTGGTCGGTGTTTTTTCAAGTATGTTAACAATGTCATGTCTGATTCCATCCAGACCTTTGGGGATGACAGCCTTACTAGTTGAATACTCGGCCTCGAGGGTAACGGTTATCTGATTCTCAAGGATCTTCTGGATATCAGTCAAGTAATTCTTCACAGTGTTTTTTCGGTCGGTAGGACTCTTATCGAGACGATCCTTAACTACGTTGATAAAGTTTTCCAATCTCTCTTTGACGGCATCGAAGGCCATGGAGATTGTATCGGAAGTTATCATGTGTCCACCTTTCTCTGGATAGTTAATGTTGTTTAGATTATTTTCCACCTCTGCCTTAATTGCTTTGATCGCAGTCTCAAGATTTTCTTTCTTTCCTGGTCCTCTAGTGCCTCCAAGGTAATATGGAAAGTTTTCGGCTTTAAGCTCGACTTCGCTTGTGCCTTGAACGGTCTGGGCAGCATTAGGCAACTGCCCGTCAAGTATCTCAGTAATCCTACGATCAATATTATCCGACGCTTTGTACGGCGGACCGGGAGGGGATATGGCATGGGGATCGAGGACTGTATTGAGTGCCTTGTTAAGTTCACTCTCAAGCAGCTTGGTTATCTTTAGGGCGGCTTCAACGTTCGTCATGTTGCCTTGTTTTGGGTCGGTGCCGGTGAGCCACTTAAGATACTCCGCAGTCTGGTTGGCCGCACCAAGCAGTTGGAGAAGGATAGAGTGTACGGCGAGTTTTAAATTGTTTTTCTTTCCAGATGTACCTCCTGGCACTACAACCTTCTCAATCATACCTGCTATACTATCAGCAAACGATCCAAATTGACCCTCCTTTGTTATTTTGTTCCCGAGTTTCGTAGAAAACATCAAGCAACCGGACGCCACAGCGGTGACATATTCTTCGAAGCCGGTGGTGTCGCCTTCTTCAATTTGCACCATTTGACTGGCTTGCTGAATAATACTATCATTGCCTTCCTTAAGCTTCTCAACAATCTGCTGTTCGATTACGTTGGTGAGTCGTAAGTACTGTTCGCTGCCAACCGTAGCATTCTGATAGTCTACGGCTAACTTATTATTATTATTAACATACGTCTCAAGTTTCCCTTCGACTATGTCATCCGAATCCAAAATATCTCCAATCCATTCCTTCACTCTTTCCTCAAACCCTTTTGGCGTCTTGAAATCCAGAGCCCACGCCTTCACTTGATCCACAGTTTTTTTCAGACCGCCATCGTCTCCCTCCGTACCGCTAATCTTCTTAACCTTCGTTTCAATGTCTTTCACAATGCCCATAACATACTGCCTAATTCCCATCTGAATCTGTCCCTTAACATAGTACAAATCCATCTTAACTGCCTTGTCCAACAGGATGATAGCGTCCTCCGCCGTAGAGACCTTATTACCCAATGTCTCCCTGGCGACATCTATAGCATCAAGCAGTAATGTGGCTTTGTTTGCAAGTTCCCAGGCTGCGTCAGTGATATGTTTTGTCTCGTCGTTCATTTCACCGTTCCTTCCATTTCTGCTGCCATTTAACTTGCTCATAATTTTTCCAACTGTTTCTAACGCTGCATTTACGGATGCTTTCGCCTGAATGGACCAACTATCTAAATTTGTTTTTACCTGACCCAACGAATTCACAACATGCTCGATCGGCACCTTAATATTAGCATCAAACTCATTTTTCAGAACACTGATGCATGCGTCTCTCAGCCTTTCAGCCTCCTTTATCACTCTCTGCTGAAGATCCTTGAACTCAACTTGAACACTCTCACCCAGCTCCCTCATCTCCGTCTGCTCTCGCATGGCACTCCCTGCAAAGTCATCAATCCGCAGCTGAATCTTGTCGAAATCACTCGCCAATTTAATCTTAAGCTCGGAGTCTAACACGGCAATTGCATTGTTCACGTCGCTTACCTTATCACCCAATCCGTCAGTCACCGTCGTATACCACTGCCTCGCCGCAACATCAAAATCATGCAATGCACGAACACTACTAATATTAGAATCTATGTTTTTACTAAGTGTATCTAAGTGCTTAGAAACTCTTTCGGTTCGCTCTTCGAGCTCACCGCTCCACGCCCGCAGCGCCTCGGAGACTTGTGTGATGGCATTCTGCAAACCATTAGAACCATTATGCATAAACTCACCGATTTTAGAAGGAAGTGAAGAAATCATTTTATCCGGCGTAATGTCATATTTCGTAACGCTCTCATCATCCTTCACACTTTGGAGAACTCCATGAAGGAAAGCCATCATCCCGTCGCAGAGCCTGTCAAGGTCCGAGTACACGATGCCGGAGCCATCGTAGCCTTTGGAAGTTTCTTGGTAACCAAGGAACTTCTCCAAGCCAGAACACAAATTTGTTAAAAGGTTTTTACAGTTATCACTTTGTTGTTTATTAAGTGAACTCAAAGACTCATTAAGCTTACTCAGCCTCTGAAGAGCATCCAACTTGGACTGATGAGAGGATAAAAGGCGAGACTCTTCAGAGGAGAGGGGAGGATTCTGGTTATTTTTATTAGGTTTAAGACGCTCAATTTCTTTCTCATAATGCTGAATTTTCTCATCAAGCATATTAGTATCTATGGACACAGCAGGCACGGCAGCGGGAGGATGCACAGTCGAAGACGAAGAGTTTTTAAGGCTTTTGAAGTCATCATCACTGTCAATAATAGTGTCAATACCATTTTGAATGGCGTCAGCAACAGCGTCAGAATTGCCAATAAATTGGCCAAGTTGTCCACTGAGCTCAGCAAGGGACACCATCCTGGAGTGGACGTCCTTAAGCTGGGCAGTCCTGTCAGACTCAGAAAGGGAATGATACTTGGCAACATGATCTTTCAATTGGGATTTAAGGTCAGCAATTTTAGAGTCATTTTGTGATTTATCAGTGGATTTGGCAGAGTTTTTAAGTGACTCAATTTGCTCGTTAAGAGACTGACAGTGGGACTTAGGAGAGTTATCAAAGGAGTGATGTCCGAGACAATTAAGGTGAGAAAAGAAAGTGGAAAAAGAGTTAAAGGGCGATTAGAGGAGGTGAAATGGGACACTTTTGGAGAATTTTAGAATTTTTTGAGAAAGGCGATTTTAGGTCAAGGAGGCAGTGAGGGAGGTGGGTGGACAGGGTGAGGGAAGTGAAGGGGCGAGAGAGGGCGATGAAGGAGGATGATGGGTTGAGGAAAGGCGGTTTCGGGGGTGGAGGGAGAAAGTGGAAAATGAGGATTTGGGTGAGGGACGCCGACGGAGGAGGTGATGGAGGGGTGATGGAGGGAGCGAAGCGACCAGTGAAGGAGTGAGTGGGTGGGTGAGTGGTTGAGTGGTTGAGTAGGTGAGTGAGTGGGTGAGTGGGTGGGTGAGTGGTTGAGTGGTTGAGTGGTTGAGTGAGTGGGTGAGTGGGTGGGTGAGTGGGTGGTTGAGTGGTTGAGTGGTTGAGTGAGTTGGTGAGTGGGTGGTTGAGTGAGTTGGTGAGTGGGTGGTTGAGTGAGTGGGTGGTTGAGTGGGTGGTTGAGTGGGTGGTTGAGTGGTTGAGTGGGTGGTTGAGTGGGTGGTTGAGTGGTTGAGTGGGTGAGTGAGTGAGTGGGTGAGTGGGTGGTTGAGTGGGTGGTTGAGTGGGTGAGTGGTTGAGTGGGTGAGTGAGTGAGTGGGTGGGTGGTTGAGTGGTTGAGTGAGTGATTGGTTGAGTGGGTGAGTAGGTGGGTGAGTGGGTGAGTGGGTGAGTGGGTGAGTGGGTGAGTGAGTGGGTGAGTGAGTATGTGGTTGAGTGAGTGAGTGGGTGGTTGAGTGGGTGGTTGAGTGATACACAGATCACACGTGAAGGCACGATTATGGTGAGAAGTACTTGACGTTGGCGAGTGCCTTGACGCGTGCGGCGGCGAGCAGCGACTGGGCGGCGATGCGGTGGCTTGAGGGCGAGCGCAGGTGGGAGCGTATCCTCAGGACGTCGAGGCGGACGACGGTGATGTGCAGCAGGTAGAGCAAGGAGAGGGACCAGAGGGTGAGCAAGGTGAGGTAAGTGAAGAAGTTGAGAAATGTTAAAGGATTATTTTAGGCACATTTTCAGGGCGATTTGGGGTAATTTGGGGAAAGGCGATTTTAGGTCAAGGAGGCAGCGAGGCAGCGAGGGAGGTGGGTGGACAAGGGAGGGAGGTGAAGGGGCGAAAGAGGGCGATGGAGGGGGGAGATGGGTGGAGGAGAGGCGACTTAGGGGGTGGAGGAAGAAAGGCGGAAAATGAGGATTTGGGTGAAGGACGCCGACGGAGGAGGTGAGTGAAGGGGTGATGGAGGGGGGAGCGAAGCGACCAGTGAAGGAGGGGGGTGGTTGAGTGGTGAGTGGGTGGTTGAGTGAGTGGTTGAGTGGGTGGTTGAGTGGGTGGTTGAGTGGGTGGTTGAGTGGGTGGTTGAGTGAGTGGGTGAGTGGTTGAGTGGGTGGTTGAGTGAGTGGTTGAGTGGGTGAGTGGTTGAGTGGGTGGGTGAGTGGTTGAGTGGGTGGTTGAGTGGGTGAGTGAGTGGGTGGGTGAGTGGTTGAGTGAGTGAGTATGTGAGTGGGTGAGTGAGTGGGTGGGTGGTTGAGTGGGTGAGTGGGTGAGTGATTAGGTGAGTATGTGAGTGAGTGGATGGGTGAGTGGTTGAGTGAGTGGGTGGTTGAGTGGGTGAGTGGGTGGGTGGGTGGTTGAGTGAGTGAGTGGGTGGGTTAGTGGGTGGTTGAGTGGGTGAGTGAGTGGGTGAGTGGGTGGGTGAGTATGTGAGTGGGTGAGTGAGTGGGTGGGTGGTTGAGTGGGTGAGTGAGTGGGTGGTTTAGTGGTTGAGTGAGTGTGTGAGTGAGTAGGTGGGTGGTTGAGTGGGTGAGTGAGTGAATTGGTGAGTGGTTGAGTGGTTGAGTGAGTGGGTGGTTGAGTGGGTGGTTGAGTGGTTGAGTGAGTGGGTGGTTGAGTGGTTGAGTGGGTGGTTGAGTGGGTGAGTGGTTGAGTATGTGGTTGAGTGAGTGGGTGGTTGAGTGGTTGAGTGGGTGGTTGAGTGGGTGAGTGGTTGAGTGGGTGGTTGAGTGGGTGGGTGGTTGAGTGGGTGAGTGAGTGGTTGAGTGGGTGGGTGAGTGAGTGAGTGGGTGGTTGAGTGGTTGGGTGAGTGGTTGAGTGGTTGAGTGGTTGAGTGAGTGGGTGGGTGGTTGAGTGGTTGAGTGGTTGAGTGGGTGGTTGAGTGGGTGAGTGGTTGAGTATGTGGTTGAGTGAGTGAGTGGGTGGTTGAGTGAGTGGGTGAGTGTGTGAGTGTGTGAGTGGGTGAGTGAGTGGTTGAGTGGTTGAGTGAGTGGGTGGGTGAGTGAGTATGTGAGTGAGTGGGTGAGTATGTGGTTGAGTGAGTGAGTGGTTGAGTGAGTGGTTGATACACAGATCACACGTGAAGGCACGATTATGGTGAGAAGTACCGTAGCTTGCTGAGCTTGCCGACTCTTGCCGCGGCGAGCAGTGACTGCGCGGCGATGCGGTGCGACGAGGGCGAGCGCAGGTGGGAGCGTATCCTCAGGACGTCGAGGCGGACGACGGCGATGTGCAGCAGGTACAGGAGCGACAGCGACCAGAGGGCTAACAATAATAACATGAAGGGGAATCTGATTTCTTTCAGGAAATTGTCGCACTCCTTGAACAAATCCTTGAAATACTGTGACTGCAGCACTTTCTTCAACTGACTACAGAAATCCTTACACTTCTTCGCTGTGCTACCACCATTCAACGTCGACGCCTCGCCGAAGCTGAATCCATATTGGTAGAGCGTCGGTGCCACGCCTCTGCATTTCACTATTGAATCACACTGACAGGTAACATCTTTCTTCTCATCTTCAACGACACCATGCTTGCCTCTCTTGCATCCATCACCGCGGAGACAACCACGACATCCCCAGTCATGGCAGTTGATGTCGCAGAATGCATTATAGAGATTGTTGAGTAGATCCCAAAATGTCCACGGCAAATAAACAGACCATGACAAATATGTGTTAGAATGCTTCTTGGCGAAGTAGTCGTATGAATCACGGCACATTGATGAGAGGTAAGGAGCACATTGTTCCTTGTTTTTGTAACACGCGCCGAATGATGTAAGACTAGAAAGGTGGTGGTTATCGCAGCTGTCGTGGTCAACGTAATCCGATCCATATGCAGAAATGATGGCATCGGTAAGAATATTCGGTTTGTCAACTAATTTAATGGATAGATTTTCAATGGATGTGTGCATACGTTTTTGAAATGGTACTTCCTCCGGTGCAACATCTTTCTGCCACCCGTTAACAAGGCACAGAGCAAATTCGATGTGCTCGGGCAATGTGGAAGGCGGCCTGGGGGCCACGCAAAATAAGGATGAAAGTTTAGCACTACTGAAGAATTTTCTCATAACATAGCATATGTCTTTGCCCATTTTGGTACTACCCGAGAAGCCTCTAAACCCTAATGGAGTCAAGCAAGGCATTCCGGGTGTACTACCAGGACATGTTGTACATTTCGATGTACATCCCACCGACTGTAATTGGTGCGGCATGTGACCAGGCAAGCAATCGTTTAGGTAACTCATTAGTGGTGATCTAGGTTGGCACGTTGCTTGGTCATTTGCCTGGCAATTTGGTTCTGTGTTTGCCTGACCATTTGCCTGGCAAGTGGATTCAGACGTTGTGTGCTTACTACATGACCACTTGGATGTCATGACATCCCTGCCGTATTGGCACTGCTCCCAGCCTCCGTGCTGAGTACTGAGTTTACATTTGCGTTTTATAAATCGTAACGTCGGTAATAGTCTACGCAATATATCAAGCAATGTATGTAAACACTCTGCACCGCCCGTGGGATATTTAAGATTAAGAGAGTTGTTCGATAATTCAACACCGTAGAGGGTATCCTCGTCGCCGGTGCCGAGGATGGTAGTGAGGATTTTATGTGAATATCTGCATAAATTATGTAAGCCATGATCCACGTCCACCGATAGGCGATTTTTGAAATCAGGATCATCTTGCTTATTATCTGTGGTATCGTACGCATTGCAGTAGGTTTGGAGTTTCTCAAATACGGAGTTATGAGCGAGACCGGCAGCCCAGCAGAGCATTTCAAAAATGCTGCAAGGGGTTCTAGGTGACGGGATGTGTTTAGCGTGGCCGACTTGATTAAATTGGTTTAGGTGAGTTAAAAGAGTATCGAAAATGTCCAAGACACCACGGGTGCCAGACTTCAACGTGGAGGTCAATGGCAGCAAATTCTTAATTCCCTCGCCTTTGAATTGGGTGTAGGGAAATTTCAACTCCCCTTTCTTGGACCCTTCATTTTCGGCGACACGGAATCCACAGCCTTTCAGGAAACTTCCAAGTGGATTGTCTCCCTTGCTATCTGTTTCGCAGATATATTTGTCTTTCCACACGCTTCCACATTCATCTCGTAATTTATACAATTTTTCGTACATCATTCTTAAAATGCTAAGGAAAACTTTAGCGGCCTTTCGACCCTCCTCAGTGAACTCAGTATTCCACTGGACATGAGTGCTGTACACGGTTGCTATAGCGCCTTGTTTGCCCCAAGTGATTTTCTCCCCTCCATCATACCTATTAACATACGCCTTCTGAAGCTCCCCTGTGAATCCCTGCAGTGCTTTCCCTACGGCGTCCAGCAGCTCCGGGTGCCGCGGGTTTGCGAATTGGGAAGGGGATAGAGAGGTGAGGGAGGTGGAAAGTTTATCACGTAGGTCGACGAATTCTTTGTTGAAAATGTAGTGTCTAGGTGATGTTACTTCTGCTTTTAGGTGATTAAGTAATTTGTCAAAATTAGAGTTAACAGTGTTAAGGTTATTAAGGTTGTCGTCTGCCGTCTCAGGCAGAGACTTTTCTTTAAGTTGCGCTGTAATTTGGTCCTTAATGTACTGGTGAATTGGAGAGAAATAATCGTGGAATGCTTTTGCTAGTGCCGTGAAATGTGTTATCTTAAATGGAGTTGTAACATCTTTTACAGATTCTTGAATTTTCTCAAGCTTAGTGTTTGAAAACTTTCTAAACTCGAGAACTTTATGCTTGTTTAGAACAAGAGACATCCCATTTATGGTTTGTAAAAGACCCTTCACGCCCGTGACTGCGTCCCGCGCGATTATGTTTTGCACTTCCCGCAGTTGCGTTTCGACGAGCGCGCGCAGGGCCTGGAGGTCGGCGGCGTGTTGGATAACGAGCAGCATCTTTACTTCTTTTGTGACATTTTCGAAAGCATCTTCCGCAGTTTTAAGCAGGGTCTCTTTGAGTTTGGTGATTGAATCTTTTAATGTCTGACGAATTATTTCAACAGAGTTGTAGAGCTTAGCGATGGAACTTATTAATGCGTCGTTGGCAAGCCCAACAGCCAATTCTATGGCGGTAACGACACCTTCGATGTCTAGTTTCAACTCATCCATTTTCTTTTCCGCCGCCTTTCGAGCTTCGTCAACCAAGCCTGGTAGCTCCTCCAACCTGCTGACTTTTGCTAGGACAGAGTTTATGTAACGTGTCATAACTTCAACATGGTCTGTCTTGAGACGGTATATTTCTTCTTTAATTTTGCCGAGATTTTTGTCGATGGTGTCAGTTTTTAAATGATTAAAATTGGCCGTGACATACGCGGCAGAGTTGGAAAACTCACGCATCAAGTCGCTAAGTTCTTTGATTATGTCGGATGACAAATTATCGAGAGCTTCATTGGTTACTTTAACGCTAAAGCCAGACGCTAAGTTGGAAATGGATGTTATGGAACTTATGAGCTCATTTTTCTTGCCAATTTTCTTTTGATTACCATCCATACCGCCATGATAATTCTTAAACTTGTCAAAGGAAATTTGACTGGTGGGCGTGAAGTCACCATCGCCATTTGGCAACTCTTTTTCAACCACCTGCCTAAGTTCTCCTTGCACAGCTTTGATAATGGAGTTCGTTTTGTCCGCTTTCCATCCCTCAAATCCGGTGGTGTCGTTAAGGACATCCAGAGCAAACTCTATATTTTTCTGAAGTTGTATGTCTGCGTTGCTGAGTGCATCCTTTAATACAGTTATATTTTGCAAAGCTGCGAAAGCGGGCTTGGGGCCGGTGTCTTCATTATCATCAGGGTATTTAGCTTTCTTCGAAGCCTCCAAAAGTTCTCCGCCAACCTTCTGAACATACTCCCCCAACTGAGTCTTAATCTGATTTTTCACTTTCTTTAGGTCTTCATTCAAAGCATCTTCTAACTCTCTGACCTTTGTTTGCGCTTTTGCCGCCAACACCTCAAGCCCATCAGTTATCTCAGTCTTCACATAATCATCTAGAGCTTTTTTCGTCTTTTCTAAATCGTGTGCTACCTTTTCGAGTTTTCCCTTCTTACTCGTGGAGTCTCCATTCGCCTCTTCATTTATTCTGCTGACATCTTTCTGAGCTTCATTAATCGCTTTTTTGGCGGCTGCAAGCCGTTCCCCAAAATCTTTAATAGAGGCGTGCAGATTGTCATCAAACTTTAGAAGCGTCGATACAATAATGTCAACATCCATTTCAAGCGGGCATTTTCCTGTTTCACCGTTGTATATTTCAGTCATTTCAATTTTTAACCTAGCAATAATTTGCAGAACTTCTCTCTTATACTCATTGTCAAAACTTGCAACAACATCCCTGGCAGCTTGCAATGTTTTCTTAATGTGACTGAAACGATCGTCCTTTCTTCCACTCAGATCCATTATGTCTGTAAATATTTTGTCGCACTCCTCGGTTAACCTGAGTTGGAGATCCGTGGACGTCATTTTAATTTGGTCCAGGATATTCTTCCTTTGCTCTGCCAGGGCCTTATCTACGTCCTTCACCTGAACACCCAGGTTAGGATCAGTTGCCACCCCCCCCAAGTGCGCCACCACCTTCTGCACGGGCTCAATTTGACGCAGTATCTTATCGCTAAGTGCGGGGTCTAATCTATCAACATTAGTGATTATGTTGGTGTTAATGTGATCATTTATGCTGCCGAGGACGGAAGTCCATGTCTTCAATTGGTCTTGAAGCTTGTCGCCTTGTTTACCTGAAACATAATCAATGAAATATGTAATTTTCTCATCTTTCAACTCACCTAAAGCATTTGTAACGCTCAATGTTCTTCCGCCAACCTGCATCCAATATTTCTTAAGCCATCCACTTACCTCTTTAACCCGCTCACCAAAGACACTGCGTCCCTGGCCAATGGAAGAGTGGAGATCTTGGAGTAATTTTTGAAGTTTATCATTCTTCTCAGTGATGTAATTATCATAAGTTGTAACGCAATCATCATCTTTCACAGTTTTCAGAACACCATGAAGGAAAGACATCACCCCGTCGCAGAGCCTGTCAAGGTCGGAGTAAACGATGCCAGTGCCGGTGTAATTACCATTACTGAGGCCGAGAAATTTTTCGAGGCCTGTGCAGAGGTTATTTAATAATGTTATCGAAGGATTATTTTAGGCACATTTTGAGGGCGATTTGGGGGAATTTGGAGAAAGGCGATTTTAGGTCAAGGAGGCAGCGAGGGAGGTGGGTGGACAGGGTGAGGGAGGTGAAGGGGCCAAAGAGGGCGACGGAGGGGGATGATGGAAAATGAGGATTTGGGCGAAGGACGCCGACGGAGGAGGTGATGAAGGGGGAGGGAGGAGGGAGCGAAGCGACCAGTGAAGGAGTGAGTGAGTGGGTGGGTGAGTGGGTGATTAGGTGAGTGAGTGGGTGGGTGAGTGGGTGATTAGGTGAGTGGGTGGTTGAGTGAGTGGGTGGGTGGGTGAGTGGGTGGTTGAGTGGGTGGTTGAGTGGTTGAGTGAGTGGTTGAGTGAGTGAGTGGGTGGGTGGTTGAGTGAGTGGTTGAGTGAGTGGTTGAGTGAGTGGTTGAGTGGGTGGTTGAGTGGGTGAGTGGGTGAGTGGGTGGTTGAGTGAGTGAGTGGGTGGGTGGTTGAGTGAGTGGTTGAGTGAGTGGTTGAGTGAGTGGGTGAGTGGGTGGTTGAGTGGTTGAGTGAGTGGTTGAGTGGTTGAGTGGGTGGTTGAGTGGGTGGTTGAGTTGGTGGTTGAGTGGGTGGTTGAGTGGGTGGTTGAGTTGGTGGTTGAGTGGTTGGGTATGTGAGTGAGTGAGTGGTTGAGTGGGTGGGTGAGTGGGTGAGTGGTTGAGTGGGTGAGTGACTAGGTGAGTGGTTGAGTGGGTGAGTGATACACAGATCACACGTGAAGGCACGATTATGGCGAGAAGTACTTGACGTTGGCGAGTGCCCTGACGCGTGCGGCGGCGAGGAGGGACTGTGCGGCGATCCTGTGGCTTGCGGGTGATCTCAGGTGTGAGCGTATCCTCAGCACGTCGAGGCGGACGACGGCGATGTGCAGCAGGTACAGGAGCGAGAGCGACCAGAGGGCTAACAACAGGTAGGAGAAGAAGTTGATAAATGTTGAAGGATTATTTTAGGCACATTTTTAGGGCGATTTGGGGGAATTTGGGGAAAGGTCAAATTAGGTCAAGGAGGCAGTGAGGCAGTGAGGGAGGCGGGTGGACAGGGTGAGGGATGTGAAGGGGCGAGAGAGGGCGATGAAAGAGGAAGATGGGTTGAGGAGAGGCGGTTTTAGGGGCCAAAGGAATTTTTTGGAAATTGAGGATTTGGGTGAAGGACGCCGACGGAGGAGGTGAGGGAAGGGGGGAGGCAGGGAGCGAAGCGACCAGTGAAGGAGGAGATGAGTGGTTGAGTGGGTGAGTGAGTTGGTGGGTGAGTGAGTGAGTGAGTGGGTGGTTGAGTGGGTGAGTGGGTGGTTGAGTGGGTGAGTATGTGAGTGGGTTAGTGGGTGGGTGGGTGGATGAGTGGGTGAGTGATACACAGATCACACGTGAAGGCACGATTACGGTGAGAAGTACTTGACGTTGGCGAGTGCCTTGACGCGTGCGGCGGCGAGGAGGGACTGTGCGGCGATGCGGTGGCTTGAGGGTGATCTCAGGTGTGAGCGTATCCTCAGGACGTCGAGGCGGACGACGGTGATGTGCAGCAGGTAGAGGAGCGAGAGCGACCAGAGGGCTAATAAGAGGAAAGTGAAGAAGTTGAGAAATGTTGAAGGATTATTTTAGGCACATTTTCAGGGCGATTTGGGGGAATTTGGAGAAAGGCGATTTTAGGTGGAGGAGGCAGTGAGGGAGGTGGGTGGACAGGGTGAGGGAGGTGAAGGGGCGAAAGAGGGCGATGAGGGAGGAAGAAGGGTTGAGGTAAGGCGATTTTGGAGGTGGAGGGGGAAGGTGGAAAATGAGGGTTTGGGTGAGGGACGCCGACGGAGGAGGTGAGTGAAGGAGGAGGGAGGAGGGAGCGAAGCGACCAGTGAAAGAGGGAGGTGAGTGGGTGGTTGAGTGGGTGGTTGAGTGGGTGGTTGAGTGGGTGGTTGAGTGGGTGGTTGAGTGAGTGGTTGAGTGGTTGAGTGGGTGGTTGAGTGAGTATGTGAGTGGTTGAGTGGGTGAGGTGAGTGAGTGGTTGAGTGGGTGAGGTGAGTGAGTGGTTGAGTGGTTGAGTGAGTGGTTGAGTGGGTGAGTATGTGAGTGAGTGAGTGGGTGAGTGGGTGAGTGGGTGGGTGAGTGAGTGGTTGAGTGAGTGAGTGGGTGGGTGGTGGTGGATGGTGGTGAGTGAGTGATGGGTGGTTGAGTGGGTGGTTGAGTGGGTGAGTGGTGTTGAGTGGTGGGTTTGAGTGTGGGTGGGTGGGTGATTAGGTGAGTGAGTGGGTGAGTGGGTGAGTGGGTGATACACAGATCACACGTGAAGGCACGATTATGGTGAGAAGTACTTTACGTTGGCGAGTGCCTTGACGCGTGCGGCGGCGAGGAGGGACTGCGCGGCGATGCGGTGCGACGAGGGCGAGCGCAGGTGGGAGCGTATCCTCAGGACGTGAGGCGGACGACGGCGATGTGCAGCAGGTACAGGAGCGACAGCGACCAGAGGGCTAACAATAATAACATGAAGGGGAATCGATTTCTTCAGGAAATTGTCGCACGTCCTTGAACAAATCCTTGAATACTGTGACTGCAGCACTTTCTTCACTGACTACAGAAATCTTACACTTCTTCGCTGTGCTACCACCATTCAACGTCGACGCCTCGCCGAAGCTGAATCCATATTGGTAGAGCGTCGGTGCCACGCCTCTGCATTTCACTATTGAATCACACTGACAGGTAACATCTTTCTTCTCATCTTCAACGACACCATGCTTGCCTCTCTTGCATCCATCACCGCGGAGACAACCACGAACATCCCCAGTCATGGCAGTTGATGTCGCAGAAATGCATTATAGAGATTGTTGAGGGTGAGGATCCCAAAATGTCCAGGCAAATAAACAGACCATGACAAATGTGTTAGAATGCTTCTTGGGTGAAGTAGTCGTATGAATCACGGCACATTGTGAGAGGTAGGAGCACATTGTTCCTTGTTGTAAACGCGCCGAATGATGTAGAGACTAGAAAGGTGGTGGTTATCGCACTGTCGGTGGTCAACGTAATCCGATCCATATGCAGAAATGATGGCATCGGTAAGAATATTCGGTTTGTCAACTAATTTAATGGATAGATTTTTCAATGGATGTGTGCATACGTTTTGAAATGGTACTTCCTCCGGTGGCAACATCTTTCTGCCA